TTGAATTCACGGATTTATTCACACCGTGAATATAGCGAATATTAACACCGCGAGTTATTTTTCCCCTATACAGTATGCAGACTTAATATAGAAATGATTTTATCGACTTTCTCAATCTATCATGAATTTAAAAATGTAAATATAAGCATTTAATTGTAAATATTAAACATTTAGCATCTCATAACCAGAGTTGGAAATTACTGACTGCCCGAGGCAGTCTGTTTTTCAGGTAGGCAGGGACAAACTTTAGATTAACCTCAGTGGTCGGGGTCTTTAAACAGGTAGTTCCTGTTTTCCTCCTTTTTTTTTCAGGGTATAGTAAGTCTATAGAAATTAAGTAAAATATAGTATATCAAAGGAACACTTCTAGTTAAAAATATGAGATGACCTATAGGACCAATATTGGTTTCTGTCTTTAGAAAAAGCTTACCGATATATGTTCCGGTCACTGACTTTAGGCCACATGTGTGTAGTTTCTTGTTTCTCATGTATTGCTTTAGTTCTACATTAATGGTAATCTAACAACCAAGCTTTAAGATAAACGTGATGACTTTAACTTTTCAATCGTCAACTTCCCTTACTTATTCAGCAATATACCTTCATCACCTGCATACGGGGTTTATATCTCTCAGTTGATTCGATACACAAGAGCATCCACTTTTGCCGAATGATACTTCTTGTGCTATTTTACCCGAGAAAAAAATCGAATGAAGTTGTATAGATACCTGTATCCATAGTGATCAAACTAAGAAATTTGCATGCTTGCGTTTGAAATAATACAATAACTATTAACATTAGTTCCTTTAAATTTTAAAATGAAAAAAAGTGTATTTAGGTGGCTTTCAATACCAGTACCATTGTCTTGCATGAATGTTAAAAATGTTTGACACTTTTATTTATGATGACATTTTAACGACACTAAACTCTCCTAACCATCCTGTGTTCCTAAAACCAAATACATACAAACTTCTCTATGTGGCTTGACTTCGATATAATGATACAAAACGTGGTTATGTTTTACAGTGAACATCTTTGAGGAATGTTTACCTGGGTAGAACTCACGTGACTACCAGTATTTTAAATAATTTATTCCACGGGTGGGTTCAACATAGGTCATACAGGTAAATAGCTCTTGCTTGTTATAGGAAAAACATTGAACTTTTCATACATTTTTAATATTTTAAGTACAAGCCTAATCATGTACAAATTTCCTACTTTCACACAAGTTTTATAAATGTATAATGCATTTTTTTGTCAATCGCACAAGTTTGTACAATGTTAGGCTGACAATAAACAAAAGCTTTGAAATGAATGACCGTCCTCGATTTACTATAAAAAATCACGAATGTCGGCTGACCCCTACCACATTGTATGGCTTTGCTCTTTGTATATTCATGAATTTCAGTGATAAAATTTGTTGAATCTTATGGTTTAGATATCAATTAATGATCTGAGATGGAAAATTATGCTTAATTTAATTCTTCATTTTGTCACATTTTACCGGGGCCCATAAGTGCACTCGTTCTTTAGTGTTTATACAGGTAAAAAGTTTGAAAAAATAAAAATGTGCCAACAAATGGTTTCGAACCAGGACACTAAAAATGTTCATGGTGAGAGTCTGCGGTCTATCGTTCTGGGCTATGCTGACTATGAGGACATTTGTAATAAATATAAACCAGTATGATTGAAATAGGTTTTCACGTTTTTTGTAGTTTTTTTTTCTATGAATTTCGACCCTAGGCACCGCTAAAAGAACCTTGTTTTAAATAATTGCTTACTAGATCAAAATCTATCAAAATTTCATAATTTAATTTAGGGGCAGGCAAAGGGTGATTATATTGCATCCATCGGGTATAATTTTCTTATCAGAAAATTGTAGAGATATGCAAAGTTAATTAATGACAACATTTATTTTTCCTTTTTGCATAATACTTTTATGATTTTCACTAATAAATTGATTATTGAAAAAAAGCCTTTAATATGACTGCTGATTTTATCTCCATCTGTTAATTTTCAACACCTTTTCTCATGATTATAGTAGATAGAGAACAGATTATGATTTCTAACATTTACTAGCTTTTACAGATCATTTCCTTGAGATAGGTGGAACCAACAGTCAAATACAGACACTTTTTAGAAAAGTAAAAATCTGGCTCAGGTTAAAAAAAAAAAAAATCATTTACAGTTTTAACAATTAGTAATTTTACCTTAATTAACTGGAAAAATCTTATTTGACGAAATACAGGTCAAGAATGAAGAGTTTAAAGCCTAGTAGGGATTTTGGTCACGCAGGTAGGTTAGGCATCCCGTAGAATATCACAGTGCACTCTGTGCCTTCACATCTCTGAACTACCAAAATATGACGTCATAATGGAAAATGACGTCAAGTCACTGAAATCTTGAGGTGTTATGACGGGGAGAGTGTCATGAACTTTACACTTTATTTGAAACTGAATGTAAAATGCTAGGTAGCTATTGCAAAATTCACGGGTCGTTAAAGGTTTTTTTAAGTCGTATATGTCAGAATATTTTAAAAATACACCGCTTACCTACCCTTGATTGAAATTCAGCATGTTCAAAATGCTTATGAAAAATATACTTTTGAAATGTACTCTGTTTTATACCCGTGGTTGGAGGTAGAATTTATTTAGTGTGTATAAAAGAGTCTGGCGCAGGTGAAGAATGAGGATTAATCTGAGAATTTTTGTTGAAGTCTGTAAGAAGAGGTTGTTCTCTAACTGAATCTTGCTTGGGAAAAATGTGTGTTGGCTTTGTTTTAATACAGATTACGATATTGTGTGGAAAATACCCTCAAATTTGTAGGTAAGTTGAATTTCTCTGGAAATATTTTGTATCTAAGTAATACTATGACTTTTCCCAAGCACATTTCGGATACACAAGGATACGATGAGCTTATTTTTATAACAAAATGTTAATTATTGTGTAAATCAACTGCGCCGAAGTGATTTATATGAAACACTTCAAAAAATTATAAATGACCGTCACGTGATCAGCAAAGTCATGTGATATCATAACAAATATGTTAATACATAGCCGAGGAAATCCTCTATATAAATTGGAAGTACTTAAGTTCAATACTTTTAAATTAAAACTAAAACCAACCTCGCAATGACATATTATGTTTTGAGCCCATGTTAAAGCTTCAGGAAGCCTAAACATAGCTGCGCAATCATTACAGGTAATCTGCAGGCCCTCTCGAGAATTTTACACTCATATGGAGACGCCACCACTTGCCAGTGGAAAGCTGCAAATTCTGTCCTATACTCTGCACTCATGGCCATTGAGCAGTGAGGGGTCTTTTCATGCCAGCACCTACTGTGACACTGGACCTTGGTTTATAAGATCTCATCCAAAGGACTGGTCTCCATGTCCCACAGTGGGATTCAAACCTGCGACATAAGGATCAACTCCTTACTTCGCGACTCTAGAGCAGACGCTCTAACCATGGCGCCACGCTTGTGACTAGCTCAGTTTTAAAGAAATCATTCAAAATATTTTTTATCAAACTTAATATGCTGATACATATATAATTAGTAAGACCTATTCAACTATTTCAAAAACTTTTGACCTTTCCTGTGACCTTGACCTCACTTTCCTTCAATTTGCATTTTGCATGGTTTTAAAACCATTTAAAATATTGATATCTAAGGCTATGCATCTATACATAATTTGGTGAGAATTTATCATCTATATCCATTTTTTTTAGATTTCAATTTCAATTTTAAAGAAACTTTTCAAGATATTCTCATCAAACTTCATACACTAACACAAACTTTCATGTTGCATTACTATACACTCGGCAGGCATACATGTCCTATGGACATATTTCTAGTGTATTGCTATTTCTGTTGTTTGTTTACTTCCGGTCAGTAAGTGCCCTCTAGGGGCAAGCCCCAGTCCTGTTTTCTTTTCCAGGGTTGCAACAGCGCCCCCTAGAAAAACAAGTTGCACCATCCAATCAAATCGTGTTTTGTGCTGCTTTATGCCAATGAAATTAAGGCTGGACAGCATATGTATTATATTCTGACCAATGGGGTTGCCGTATTTTCAAATAATTAGGATAGACTTACCACTTCAGCATTCCTTTCATCACTGAAGTGATATACATGGTCAAAAATTGACTAACTTTCATTTTTGTGTCAACTGCAGAGCAGAACGATACTTAGAGATCACTTTACCTGGTGTCTGTCTGTCCGTCTGTCACACCTTATATCTCCAAAATTTTGAGAGGCAGGGTTTTGATAATTAGCATTTATATGTTTTTGAGCTCATGATACTATACTTTGAAACTGTATGAAATTCAGTTACCACACAAACTTGTATTTAAATACTATGAAAATACATTGGGATCAGTATTCCACAATGAATCGTGTTGACTGACAAAGTGACAATTAAAGTAAAGATAGTCTGAAATTCCTTTCCTCCGAGGATTGTTGGAAGCACCTACATGTGTATTAATAAAATGATAAACAGTTATTCCTCATAATTTCAATTAAATTATTCATTTGAGGACTGGGGAACCATATTTTCTTTGATTGCCAGATTCTATCCCAGTCTTTTACTTTTGGATCCTTTTTTTTCCTTGCAGGCAAATGCATGAACCTCCATGCTAATATTAAATTAATAGCTGACCACTCTTAGATTTATTTACCTCTTTAATGACGATACCTAGCAGGTGACATATACATTCCTTGAAACACTCTAGTTCCTATTTGATTTTCACTAATATAAAGATTATTGAAAATTAAGACTAAGGTGCCCTATAGTGATCAGTCTATTCATTCATCTGTCTGTCAAATACATATATCCCATGTTCAGAGTACAGGTGACTCTAAATACTTCAAACTTTATATTTTTTAATTAGATACATGTAGCTGCTTTGGAACATCTGAAAGGTCTATTACATTATCACTAGTTTTACTAGTTTTCTTCATGTAAGTTGAATATATTTTAAACTTTTAAATTTTTATTTTTTCCAGGTAAGAAAGAAATTCAGGAGTTCTTAAATTGCCCTTGGGATTGCATCAAACTGCTAAAAGACCTCAACAAAAACAGCGTCTTGAAAATAAAAATGAAAATATTCAGTGAAAAAAAAAATGATGAAAGAGCCACTAAAAATCTTCAAGCCTTTGAGCTGAAATCTGGAAGTCAATCTGTGGACTTCACTAGTATGTCATAATTACTAAGTCATCATTTGTGTATAATAAATACACTAAACTGTAAACACTTGTTAAAATGTGTATAATTTTTAGATATAATTTGTAGCTCACAGACTTCAATAGTTTCATGTAATGTAAGTAATAATGAAAATTTCCTGTTGTCTAGCTAGATTAGAAACTATTATTGTCCAATTTTGGATATTGTGAAATAATTCATCTAGTATGCATACATGTGTGTACACTTACGTGTAAATTAATTGTTATAGCAAATTCAATCGATCATTAAGTTGAATGTTGACTAATGTTTTTCATCAAAATTGTTTACACTGAATTGTTTGTGGATTTTTCCATTTGCCCAGTCATGTCAAGGAGCACATGGCAGGAAATGCTTTCTCCTCCATTGCACCTGGTGTTTTTAGAGGTCTGTGTTTGCTCTGCTCTAATTATGTATTGTTTCAATGGACTTTAAAGCTTGATCACTGTTGGTAATCTTCATATTTCATATACTATTAGAGTACTTGAAGAAAACTGTAAAGATTTAACATACAGTATAATGCATGTATATTGCACTTTAAGTACAGTGTATGTGGTTAAGAAATGTTAAATCGTCTCATAGTGCATTGAATTTGTTGAAAATTAGAAAATGTGTTGAATTTTTTTTTAAATAATGTTAGATTGCAGATTTTTTTAAATCATGCAAGTAAGAAATTGCTAAATATTTTTTAGCTTTTCTGGACAGTCTAGATGAGTTCTTATTATATACCTAGCATTGTCATCCCAGTTAAAATTTAAGGAGCAACGTTCATTCCTAAGCTCTACCTGGACAAACTTGCATGGATTAAAGCACATTAACAGATTTACTTCAGATGCTTGACCTGATCTACATTTTCCTCATGTGTTTTTTTTTGTTTTTGTTTGTTTGTTGTTTAACATCCCTCTCAAGAATTTTTCATCCATATGGAGATGCCACTACTTGCTGGTGGAGAGCTGCAAAATTTGACCTATACTTTGCACTCAGGGCCTTGAGCAGTAAGGGATCTTTTTTGTGCCCACATCAACTGCTAGGCGGGACCTCAGTTTATATGGTCTAATCTGAAGGACTGGTCCCCACAACCCCAGTGGATTTGAACCTGAGACTTAAGGATTAAATCCTTACTCGCGACTCTAGATTACAAACTCTCTCCTTTGCGCCACATGGGGGACTCCACAAGATTAAGTGTTTCGAGCAGTCCTATTCTCATGTAATTATAAACTCTATGTTGAACAAACCTGCAAAGATGATGCATGTACATGTAAATGTTTCAGGGTACCAATCCTTGATTTGACTTAGATTTTCTGGATTAATGACCAGTTTTTTAGAGAAGGTTCATTCAAAGTAACAATATACTCTTTGGTGATCAGTAAACATAGATGATGTATCCTGCTTCTGATGCTGGATGTAACATACATTTTCAGGGTTATGGAGCAGTTAAATCTAACCCAGACCAACTTGCATAGATTTTGGATCCAGGTGATATACATTACCAGAGTGTTTGTTGAGTGAGACTTTGCCTTACTAGTAGATAACATTTATAGAAGTGAGCTTTGTATTCTTTGATTAGGTATGTTTTTTCTTTGCTCAGGATATATATACCATCAGTGCCAACTACCATACATTTTATATAATAGATGTAGCTGTTGTTCAACTGAATATGATAAAACTGTGGATGAAAATAATTTGATTTTTGTACCTTTGAATGTATTGAATTCATTTGTAAAAGCTGTTATGATACAATGTTTGATATTTTATAAAAGTTTTTAGCATATGCAATCAATAAATGTATCAACATTTTTATTTTATTATACTTTTTACCCTGCAAACTTCTTAAAAACAGAATAGTAATGATCCATTTAGCTGATACTAGGTTAGTGTCACATTGTACTGGTATATCATGTATACTGAACTGTAAATAAGAAACATCTAAATAGGTAAAATCACAGCATGAATCATTGGATTATGTAAGAAGTGCACTATCTTGTGCTTTGGTATGGTATTAATAATAAATGTTAAAATATCATTTTTTTTTTCAAATTAACAAAGGATATGCTTGAGTGACTGTATTTTGACTAGCAGTAAAAATAAAATGATTTTTAAGCATTTGAATTATTTTGATTCATGGTCTCTGCAAGTTTAATGATAGCAAATATGTATATTGAACATGGCATCCACATATTGCTATACTGGATGGGGCATAACTTTTACTGAATCTTAATCACAACCTTGAAATTTTATGTAGTACATGTACTCTTGGTTTCAACTGGTCAAATGTATTCTTGAATCAGAAAGAATTTAAACAAATATAGGCATAGGTCAGAACTTCATCAATTAGTTGGAAAGCGAATGCACTCAGTGACTATATGGTTTAAAAGAAGCTTGGTATAAATAGCAGGAAAAACTACTTGAAGTCCACTGTGAACTTTGTGTCCTCAACAAAACAATATGGAGTATACTATACTTGGTTTAAAGAATAATCTATGTCTGCATTCACTTTCAGGTTAAACTGTTTTGGGCATTGAGAGTTTGTTGTTTAACGTCCCTCTGGAGAATTTTTCACTCATATGGAGATGCCAACACTTGCTGATGGAGAGCTGCAAATGAGCTATGCTCGGCACTCAGGGCCAATGGGCAGTGAGGGATCTTTTTCATGCCAGCATCTACTGCGACACTGGACCTCTGTTTGTACGAAGGACCGGTCTCTACGTCCCAAAGTGGGATTCAAACATGTGAGAAAAGGATCAACTAACTCCACGACTCTAGAGCATTGGCTCTTTCCACTGCACCACGTGGGCGACAGCATTGAGAGTTAAATGTGGATATCAGAACAAGCTACTCTGGGCTTATACTCTCTATATATTGATTGATTGTATGTTGTTTAACATTCCTCTCAAGATTTTTTCACTCAAATGGAGACACCACCACATGCCGGTGGAGATCTGCAAATTTTGTCCTATATCGGCACTTACGGCCATTGAGCATCGAGGGATTTTTTTCGTGCCAGCACCTACTGCGACACAGGACCTCGATTTATACGGTCTCATCTGAAGGACCGGTCTCCCCATCCCACAGTGGGATTTGAACCTGCGACGTAAGGATCAACTCCTTACTTCGCTACTCTAGAGCAGACGCTCTAACCACTGCGCCACTGGGGCAACTACTCTCTATTTAAGTCACTTGTGCAATGATAAACTTTAGTTTAATTCAATGTTTTGTACTGATCATGTTGAGTCACATTAGCACAAATATCTTTCTGCTGACCTTGACTAATGACCATCCGCAACTATTCTGGTTGGAAACAATATGTTAATTAATGCATGATAAGTGAAATTACTATGAAAGAAAAATGGTCTACTTAAACCACAAGTTATATTTATAAAAAATATACACTGGTCTCCTTAAGTCATATGAGAGAAACATAAAATATTAAGGAGACCATTTTTTTCATATATTTTTAGGAGGCATTTATTATGAAAAAATAAAGCAAGAGTCGACTAAATGGTGTTCTATAGATCATTGATCTGGTATTTCTTTTTAGAAAAAAGCAAATTTAAAAAATTTGTATATTGTCTCCTTAAGCCATATATAATGGTCTGGTCTCCCTAGTCCTTAAATCAGAGTTATATATATATATATATATATATATATATATATATATATATATATATATATATATATATTACAGCACCGAAGTTGCAGACAACTCAGCCAGAACCTGACCATGTGACATCTAGCCCTACAAACCATACGATAACCTCAATGGTTCAGCCAGAACCTGCCCATGTGACAGCTAGACCAACAACCCAAACGATGACCTCAACGGTTCAGCCAGAACCTGCCCATGTGACAGCTAGGCCAACAACCCAAACGATGACCTCAACAGTTCAGCCAGAACCTGCCCATGTGACAGCTAGGCCAACAACCCAAACGATAACCTCAACGGTTCAGCCAGAACCTGCCCATGTGACAGCTTGGTCTACAACCCATACGATAACCTCAATGGTTCAGCCAGAACCTGCCCATGTGACAGCTAGATCTACCCTCCTTAAGATGCTAAAGACAGTTAAGGCACCAACAAAAGGTTAGTCAACAGTTGTCATGTAAAAAAAAAAGAACAAAACAAAACCTTTTTGATAAAAATATCGAATTTGACAACTTAACATAGCAATGACATAATGTTGCATGTTATTGTACATGACCAAAATGGATTTTTTTTTATTGTAGCCTTGAACGTTCCAGATACAGACGATGATCTGTTTGACGAAGCGGGTACTACAGGTCAGCATGTAACCCTCCTCTTGTCTATAAATAGTTCATTGTATTTTTATTATAATATGTGTGTTTATTTCCATCAATGATAAATTGAAAAAAGATTAGGTGTAGAGCACAAAGAAATGATAAACCATCTTCAGGGAAATCCATTAGAAAAAGAACACTATTTAGAAAGCATGCACTGTTTAAATCAAAACGGGATAAATTACCCTCAAGATCAGAAATAGAATTAAACCGAATACATGCTTTATCTTCGGATGATGATTATGATTCTATATTTGATGCGTCAGATATATAAATACAAGTTGGTTTGTGAAGATGTTTTATTTTTATATTTATAGGCTTTTTTGCATGGGCAGTACTTACTACTATAGCTCTGATACTCCTCATCGTCAAGAAACTTGTGTTACAGAGATGTGACTTGAAATGTTGCACACAACCTTTACCATCCCCACCACAACCACAAACAATAGAACCTTTTGAGGATAGAATACCTATGAATCCTATTATGCACACCCCTCCATCGCAAGCCTCAACTCCTGACACCCCAAGCACAGTAATGTCAACTCCTGACACCCCAAGCACAGTAATGTCAACTCCTGACACACCAAGCACAGTAACCTCAAGTGCCCCTTTGGTTTCTCAACATGAGCCAGTATCGGCTAATACAAGGTCAAAGAAGAAATTGTTCTAGACTAAAATGATATACGAGTCTTGTGAACGGAATATGTGCATACATTCTCAAAAGAATACAGGTATATTCTTTTTACATTTGTGATGTTTTACTACATGATGGTAATTGAGCATATAAATTTAGCTGTGTTGTCAGAAAAGATGATGTACATTTTTTTTTACTTGATTGTTTTATTTTGAGAAAATGTATTGTTATCATACATATGACAACAAGTAAGTGTTTATGTTTGTGTATTACTTTTGATAATGAGACATACAGAGTTATTTTGACAAGAAAAAAATTTATGTGAAAAATAATTCTTGAGAAAAACAGCTATTAAGCTGTCCCCCCCTTTTTTTTACTTGATTGTTTTATAAAGCTGTCCCCCCCTTTTTTTTTTACTTTGTTTTAAATGAGATTTACTAGGTGATGGTTAATTACCTGGGTTGTCAGATGATGTACATCTTTTTTAATTGATTGTTTTATTTTGAGATGACGTATTGTTATCATACATATGACAACAATGAGTGTTAGTGGGATATTTTTACACAAGTAAGTGTTTATGTTTGTGTATTACTTTTGATAGACATACAGAGTTATTTTGACAAGAAAAAAAAATCTATGTGAAAAATAATTCTTGAGAAAAACAGCTATTAAAGGTGCTTGGACACAGATTTGAAGTTAATATTTACTCAAATTTTCTGTATAATTTCATGACTTATATGTTGCTATAGCATTTCATACGAAAATTTGATAAAAATCTTATTTTATCTGTAAGTTATTGAAACTTTGAATTTCTGGACGCGTTTGATAGACACATCCTTGCACTTTCACAAATTTTAAGTTTATCCTTAATACTTTAGAAAAGTAGCAATTTTGTTGTTTTAATTAATAAAAAATATTAAAACTATAATGCAGAAATTTCAGAGTAGAAATGTAGAAAGCACAATCCTCTCACGAGTATTGTCAGTCCGTGCTCAGTGGTGTGTGCAGAGTTTAACAATTGAACACACCCGGTGAATCGTAAACATTAACAACAACAGAGCGCGTGCCCTGTTTACAAAAACAGTTTACGTTTCACGGGTGTATTCAATTTGTTAAACTCTGTACACAACTACACAACACTAAGCACGGGCTGATAATACTTTAGTGAGTAAGTTTTGCTTTCGCACCTTTTTACTCTGAATTTTCTGGATTATAGATATAATATTTTTCATTAATACACAATAAAATTGCTACTTTTCTTAAGTATTAAGGATAAAGTTAAAAATTGTGAAAGTGCAAGGATGTGTTAATCAAACGCCTCCCGAAGTTCGTAGTTTCAATAATTTCCAGATTAAATAAGTTTTTAATTTTATTTTCGTGTGAAATGCTATAGCAACATATAAGTTGTGATATTATACAGAAAATTTGAGAAAAAATAAACGTCAAATCTGTGTCTATGCACCTTTAAGCTATCCTCCCCCTTTTTTTTTACTTGATTGTTTTGTAAAGCTGTCCCCTTTTTTTTTTTACTTTGTTTTAAATGAGAGTTTTACTTGCTTGATTTGTTTTCATTTGTGATGTTTTACTATGTGATGGGTAATTAATTGGGTTGTCAGATGATGTACATCTTTTTTAATTGATTGTTTTATTTTGAGATGATGTATTATTATCATACATATGACAACAATGCCTATTAGTGGGATGTTATTTACACAAGTTAGTGTTTATATATGTATATTACTTTTATAGTTTTGAATTTCATTAAAGTTTTTGAGTTGAACAGGCTTTGTTTTTTCTTTTGTATGATTGATTGTATACTGTTTAACATCCCTCTCCAGAATATTTCACTGATATGGAGACGTCACCATTGTCGGTGAAGGGCTGCAAATTTAGGCCTATGCTCGGCACTTGTGGCCTTTGAGCAGGGAGGGATCTTTATCGTGCCACACCTGCTGTGACATGGGGCCTCGATTTATACAATCTCATCCGAAGGACCGCCCCATTTAGTCGCCTTTTACGACAAGCAAGGGGTACTGAGGACCTATTCTAACCCGGATCCCCACGGGGCTCTTTTGTATGAGTTGTGGTATAAAGAAAATTTTATGTTATTGAATTTGGATTACGCAGCTAGGTTAAGGACGCCCATGAAATATACGCCTTAATATATTCAGGGAAAATGAATAAAATTTCAATATTTTCTTTAACAGCATTAGTTTTGATAAATGTGAATTGTTGTGTTTGCACGTGTATATATCGGGTCTCTGCTGAGTTCGGCCAAAGCGACATCGCTTACATCAGCTGTTTGTCACGTGACAGTTTTAAAATTAGAACATATATGTACTACTACAAAGATCGTAAAAGTTCAACGATATACGGGCATTTTTCCGCTATAAAATTTATTCCGTTTTCTTTGAGACAAATTCCTTAACACGAAAAGTGCTGGGAGCAACTTTCTCATGCTCGGGAATTGTTTAAAATTTAGCCGTCTTTCTATAAACTCCAGTCAAAAATGTAATTCGCATTGGAAAAATGTTACATTACGGAATAAATCAATAATGCACAACCAGCTCCCAGCACTTTTCAGAATAGTAGGAATAATAGCTACACGTGTTTTAAAATTCAGAATTTATAGTGAAGCGGATATCGTTGAACTTTTGATATTTTCGAGGGGCTGGATCCCTCATTCTAGCACGTTACTGTAAAAATGTACTCCCTACGTCTTTATTTAAAGTCTACACAATAACAATTTAGTTAGACAATAAAATGTGGATTAATATATTTCAGAATATGTCTCTCCTTTGGTCCGACTACGCGTGTTTCGTATTTATTTTTATTTTTACAAGCTACGATAAAAGCTTGATCCACGCCTCAAGTACAGAGAAACTGCGTGTCAAAGTAAGAAATGACGTCATCTCAGTAAGTTCAGCGAGATCAAGCTGGCTTTCATTTTACATACCCTAAGTGCTATTATGGCAAGATAAGTTGCACATCCATTTATCTTTATAATATTTATGATAAACGAAAGTATTTAGTGTGTTTTAAAAAGAACATATAGTATTTATTCATCGAGATTCATTTGTATTGTTTTAACGTGACGTCATAATAGCTTTACCGAACCTCTGCATAGGCTGACGTATACATGGGAGTCCTTAACCTAGCTGCGTATAATTTTGAAATATATTTAAATAAATTTGTAAATATTCTGAATTTACTTTAGAACATGGCAGACGACAGTTTATTAAAAGAAATTTTGGACTCTTTGGAGGATCCGGACACCGTGCAGTTATTTGCAGCAGCCAATGGTTTAGTCGGTGATGTCGAGGTCGAGAACCGATTAAGGGAACTCCAATGGGAAAAGCACATCGACGATTTATGGCAGGAGGTTCTGTCTGATATGGAGTCTCCTCCTAAAAAAAAGTGTCATTCTCTCAATGATGGCAATCAACCTTCTACAAGTAGGGAGATGGGGGGCGGTGGGGAAAGTTCCGATTCTAAGGACACATTAGCAAAACCTTACTATATCTGGAAGAGAGATACCAGGACCTTCAAGAAAAATCTGGCCCGCGACACCACGTTCAAGGTCAAATTCAACGAACAGTGGAGGGGGGATAAATTAATAGATATCCAAAACAAATTACACGAGATGTTCGACGACCTGTTGTCGCAGGCCAGGGGTCACGATGCGGATTTGGGAAGGGTGGTCCTAAGTCATCCGAGTTTAAACAATCCTATCGTCGTGCCGCTGCAGTCCTGGGAAATATTGAATGCAAATGTCGTCATGTCGGAGATCACCAAGGTACTCAATTCAAACGAAAGCTTACCCGTAGACGAAAACCTGCTAGTCACCATCGGGTCCATTGACTTACCTAAAGGGGGAGGTAACCCTAGAAAATTACCCATTACAACTCTTTTCGGTCCTAAAAACAGTATAGAAAGGAAAAAATCACTTTTTCATGTTCAAAATAATGACAATTTATGTATGGCCATTTCCATCGGTCTGTGTTTTCTAAAAACGTGTAAGAAAGTAGATACGGAAACATGGAACAATTTAGTGGGGAATGATCCTGGAACGATGCTAGATCACGCCCTCAAACACCGCACTGTTTCTCAAACATATTATGACAATATCTTGAAAACGTCGAGACAAAAAATGCAAACGGAGCTGGCCATGGGACTGTGTGAAAAAGCCGGTGTGCCCAATGACAGGTATTTAGGTCTGAATGATATCGAACCTTTCGAAAATTTACTTGATGTCTCGATCAACGTCGTGTCCTCTGCAGTAGGAAACAAATTTGTCAGGGTCACAGAGGATCAGGGTAAGCCTCGTCTTTATTTGTATCACGTGGATTCGGAAAAGGAAAAACACTGGCACGGGATTGCTAGGATACAAGGATTTTTTAAGGCGTCGTATTTTTGCCATAGTTGTTTAAAACCGTATAAAAATAAATCCAAACACTCTTGTGCCACCTCATGTGAAGTATGTTTACATGACAACTGCCCAGAAACAGACGTCCAAATGGGTTGTCGTTCCTGTGGTCGGATCTGTCGGTCTTGGACGTGTTTTAAGAGACATAAACAACAAAGAGTTGTCAAGAAAGAAAGTTATCCCCCCGCCTGTGACGTGTTTTACCAATGCAAAAATTGTAGAGTCACTCTGGAACGTGCTAAGCGCTCTCCCGATTTACATATTTGTCAAGAGTGGCAGTGCCCCAACTGTCGAGAATATCAAACGGGGGAACACAATTGTTATCAGAAATCGCATACGTCTGATATAGAAAAGAGAAACAAGAAATTTATGTTCTACGATTTTGAGACGCGTCAAGATGACATTTTTCATTGCGACAAAGGATACAGACCGTCTTGCATCAGATGTCGCCATTGTGTTAAGGAGGAACGCCAGTGCCCTAACTGCAGACTCTGTCAGAACTGTCGTGATCCGTCCTGCGGTCTACAACAACACAAAGTCAACTTTGCCGTACTACAAACCACTTGTCACAAATGCGAAAAAGAGGAACTAGTTGACGGTGCTACCTGTCATCATTGTGGAACACGATGTGGAAAATGTTCCCGGACCCGAAAAGGAGAATATTTGTATTCCCCTTGTACCGACACTTGTGGGAAAAGGGAACTCGTGTTTTCTGGTGACAGCGCCGCCGAGCAGTTTTGTGCTTACGTCACCAGTAAACACTGCAGAGACTCGATTTTAGTTGCACACAATGCCAAAAGTTTTGACTTGTACCCCGTTTTAGAAGTTCTCATCGACCGACACTCCATTCGACCTAGCAAGATCATATACAATGGTTCCAAAATCATGTACATGCACATTGCCCAAAAACTGAATTTAACTTTTGTGGATTCCCTCAATTTCCTTCCCATGAAACTAGCTAAAATACCAGAAGCTTTTGGTCTACAGGAACTCTGCAAAGGTTACTTTCCCCATTTTTTTAACACCAAAGCCCATCAAAATTATGTGGGGCCATATCCAGAATTAAAATATTATGGATACGATGCCATGTCGACTGGGGAGCGGAAAAAGCTTGCAGAATGGCACGCAACGAAACAGAACGAAAGCTTTAATTTTCGAGAAGAAATGTTGCAATATTGTCGCTCGGACGTTGATATACTGAGACGGGGCTGTCTGGAATTTAGAAAATTAATGATTAAGGTGACGACCATCAAAGAACACATTACACAAGCAGACGGAACCGTCAAGAAAAGAACCACGTTTGGAATCGACCCATTTGATTACGTCACCATTGCAAGCGTGTGCATGGGGATATTCAAATCTCTATTTTTGAAAGGAAAGTACAAGATAGAAA